AACACATAGAAACAAACTCAAATAGGAAGCCAAAATGGGGAGACCAAACAACAAGCCCCAAATGAAAAAACAAGAGAAGTCTCCAGAAAAAGAGCTAAATGAAATGAAGATAAGAAATCTATCAGATATAGAGTTCAGAATACTGATTGTAAGGATGCTCAACATCATGAAAAAAGATATGGAAACTATGAAAAATGGCCAGTCAGAAATGAAGAATGACATAGCAGAAATAAAGAATACAACAGAAGAAATAAACAGATGATCAGAGGAAGCTGAAGATCGGATCAGCAAATTAGAAAACAGGGTAGGAAAAAAATCACTCAATCAGAGATCCAAAAAGAAAAAATAATCAACAGGATTGGGACAATCTAAGGAAGCTGTGGGACAACATGAAATGTAACAATATTCGCATCATAGGAATGCCAGAAGATGTTGAAAGTAAGCAAGGGTTAGAGAACCTGTTTGAAGAAATAATGGCAGAAAACTTCTCTAACCTAGGGAACGAAAAAGTCACACAAGTTCAGTAGGTACACAGAGTCCCAAGCAAGAAGAATCCAAAGAGGCCCACACCCAGACACAGCATAAATAAAATGCCAAAAATTCAAGACAAAGAGAGAATATTAAAGGCAGCAAGAGAAAAGCAATCTGTTGCCTACAAAGAGCTCCCATAAGGCTGTCAGCTGACTTATCAGAAACTCTACAGGCCAAAAGGGAATGGAACGAAGTATTCAAGGTAATGCAAAACAAGGATCTGAAACCAAGACTAATCTATCCAGCAAGGCTATCAGTCAGAATAGATGGTGAAATAAGAAGCTTCCCAGACAAAAAAAAGCTAAAGGAGTTTATCACTACCAAACCAGCATTGCAGGAAATGTTAAAGGGACTGCTGTAATAACAAAAAGAAGTAGAGAGAGAAACTTAGGCATAAAGAATTAAAATGGCAATAAATAAGGACCTATCAATAATAACCTTAAGGACTTTAAGGAAGAGATCAAGAGCAATACAGTCATAGTCGTGGACTTGAACACCCTAACTGACTTCACTGGATAGATCTTCCAGACAAAAAGTAAACACAGAAACAGTGAATCTAAATGGCAGACTAGATCAGATGGATTTAATTGATACAGAACATTTCACCCCAAAGTTGCAGAATATACACTCCTCTTAAGGCACATGGGTCATTCTCAAAGACAGACCACATGTTAGGACACAAAACAAGTCTCTACAAGTTCAAGGAGACTGAAATCATATCAAGCATCTCAGATAACAACATCATGAAATTAGAAATCAACTATAGTAAAAACACTCAAAAACATTCAAACACATGGAGGCTAAATAGCATGTTATTAAACAATAAATGGGTTACCAATAAGATCAAGAAAGAAATTAAAAAAATTCCTGGAAACAAACAAAAATGAACACACAACAGCCCAAAATCTATGGGACACAGTGAAAGCAGTCCTAAGAGGAAAGTTCATAGCACTGCAGTCCTACCTCAAAAAGCAAGAAAAATTTTTAGTAAACNATGAAAATGAATCTACAGAATCTACAGGACACAGCAAAAGCAGTCCTAAGAGGAAAGTTCATAGCACTACAGGCCTACCTCAAAAAGCAAGAAACTAACCCTACAACTTAAAATTAGATAGCTCCCCTGTGAAGCCGTCCAGACCGGGACTTTTGTTTGCTGGGAGTTTTTTTTATTACTGCTTCGATTTCATCAGTTGTTATTGGCCTATTCAGGTTTTCTCATTCTTCCTGATTCAGTTTGACATGATCTCACTCATATGTGGAACCTAATAAACAAAACAGGCTGAGGAACAAAATAGATCCAGAGACACAGAAGCATGGAACAGACTGATGAATCTCAGAGGGAAGGTAGGGGTGGGGGAGTGGGTAGGGAGAGACTAATCAAAGAATTTATATGCATATATGCATAATCCTTGGACACAGACAATAATGTGGTGAAGGCCTGGGGGGTTGGGGTGCGGATGCAGGGCGGAGGGGATCAATGGGGGGAAAAGGGGGTATATCTGTAATATTTTCAACAATAAAAATAAATTAAATAAATAAATAAATAAATGTTGGGGGTGAAAATAATACAAAAAGCAACTACCTGAGCAACTACGATAAGCAAAAGTAGACAGTTTAGGGAGAGAAATCAAAATGGGAAGAAGCAATTCACATAGGAGTGCAGTTTACTGTTTATTTGGGTTGTTTTTGTACTTTCTTGTCAGCATTAATCGGAGGGCTGCTGCTGCTGTGAAGCTGCAATAGCTGCAAGCAGCAGAGAAGATGAAACTATCTTTCTGACCACAGGGCCAGGACAGGATCCCTGGGAACTGAAGAGGAGACATAATTTCAGAGAGGAGAGATCTAGAAAAAGGATATCCTAAATTTTAGTATAAACCAGCTCATACTAACCCTTGAGTATATATACAGACAGATTCAAAGCAGCACTACAAAGCCTTTTAAAAGTGGGCTGACATTAGAACTACCTCTCACAGAAGACAAGCCAGAACTTGTGAACTGAACCTAATCAGATAAGCAGAACTCAAAATTGCACAATAAAACAAGCATAATTCCCAGGACACCATCTAAAAGTGCCTGACATGGAAAGAATCAGGAAAATGTGACCAATTCTCAAGAGTAAAGAAAATCAGCAAATGCCAACACCATGATGACCTTGGTTGGAATTATCAAAAACTTTAAAAGTAGCTATGGTAACTATGCTGCATGAGGTAAAAGTAAATACTTCTCAAATTAATGAAAACATAGTTCTCAGCAGAAAAATTAAAAAACTATACAAAAGAACCAAATGAAGGTTTTACTATAAATTACAGCATAGAATCTGGCACAAAAATAGACAAGTAGACCAATCTAACAGAGCAGAATCCCAAAAGTGGCAACACATGTATATTCACTTGATAGATGACAAAGATGGCTTTGCAAAACAGTGGGGAAAAGATGATGTTTTCACCAAGTTATATAGGAACTGGATATCCATACTGAAAAAATAAGTAAGTTTACCCTTATCTACAGGATATACATAAAAATCCTTTCTAGATAGATTTTAGATATAAATGTGAGTGGCTATAACAATAAAGCTTCTACAAAATATGTAAAAAATCTTCATAACCCCAAGGCAAGAAAACATTCTTTTAAAAACTGGGTCAACATTCACTAATCATAAAGAAAAGATAGATAAATTTAACTACATTAAGAACTTCTGTTCATCGAAAGCCACTATTAAAATAATGAAAAAAAGGCCCTGGCTGGATGGCTCAGTTGGTAGGAGCATTGACCCACCGAAGAGTAGTGGATTCAATTCCAAGTCAGGGCACATATCCGGTTTGCAGGTTTGCAGGTTTGATCTCTGATCTGCGTGCGTACAGGAGGCAACTGATCAATGTTTCTCTCTCACATCAGTGTTTCCCCCCACACACCTATACCTTCCTCTCTCTCTAGATTCAATGAAAAATATATCCTCAAGTGAAGATTTTAAAAAATAATAAAATAATAATAATGAAAACAAGATATTTGAGAGAAGACATTTGCAACACAAATCACTAAAGGCACCAATAAGATTATATAAAAAACTCTTGCCATGGCCAACGTGACTTATTGGGTAGTGCATCAGCCTGCACAACAGAGGGTCTCGGGTTCAATTCCAGTCAAGGGTACATACCTGGGTTGTAGGTTCGATCCCTGGGACCCATTGGGGTGCCTGTGGGAGGCAACCAATTGATGTGTCTCTATCACATTTATATACCTCTTTCTCTCCTCTCTCATCCCTCCCCCCTCCATTCCACTCTTTCCAAAAATCAATGGAAAAAATATCCTTGGGTGAGGATTTAAAAAACAAAACAAAAACCTCCTAACAAATCAGAAAAACAAATAACTTTAAAAAATTAAAAGAACACAATAGAAAAAATAAGCATAAGACTTCAGAAGTAATCTCACACACACACACAAAATGATATCCCAATGGCCAATTAACATGAAAGATGCTAAATAACCTCAATGGTCATCACAGAAATGCAAACTAAGCCATAGTGAAATACCATTCACACCCACCAAAATGGCTATAATTAAAATAACTAACAAAATGAAGTCTGTCAAGACTGTGGACCCACAGAAATTCTTCTCATACATTGCTGGTGAGGGTATAAATTCATACAACCACACTGCAAAACTCTTTGGCATTAGTTTCTACTAAAGTGGACACATATTTTGAACATTCTAATCCAGGTATTTCACTCCTAGGCATATACCCACCAGAAACATGTACAACAAGCCCTATACAGAAATTTCAAAGTAGAATTATTCATAATATCCCAGAACTGGAAACAACCCAAATGCTCACTCTGATATATAAATTGTGGTATATATCCACACAATGGTACAACAATGAAAATGAACTTACTGCTACAAGCATCCTGAGTAAGAATCTCACATGTTGAATAGAGGAAGACAGACGCAAATGAATACAAACTATATGATTCATTTGTTAAAATAATAAAATAAAACAAAAACAGACAAAAAATGAATCAGAAATTAGGATAGTGGTTACCTCTGGGGAAGAGGTGGTAAGTGAAGGAGAAAGTGAAGGTTTCTGGGGTACTGGATAGTGTTCTATTACTTGATCTTGATGTGGTTATAAGCATGTTAGTTCTGGTATGTCTGGGTTTTTACTATGAATACTAACTACACTTTTAACAAGTAAAAAAGAAGATAATTAGTATCTTCTTGTCAGCAAGTTTGTTGTGCAGCAGAAAAACCAAATTAGGAACAAAGGGGAAAGGAGAATCAGCCTCCTGACATTCATTAACCAGTTACTAAAAAAGTTTATTTTTTTAATCTGTAAAACAGATACCAGAGAAAAAAACAGTGAGAAGGAAAAGAGAACTGCCAAATCTTCAGGGCAAGAAAGAAACATTATTATGTTTTCAGAATTTTTTATTTAAATCTCCCATGGGTCACACTCTAAAACCCTCCTTTACCTGATGGCTTGAATCTTCAGTGCTCTGCTTTATGAAGTCTTCTAGCTCCTGTTTATCTTTCATTGTCTTCTCTAACTGGTCATTTGCTTGCCTTAGCATCACCTGCAGTTTTTTCACCTAAACAATTTTAAATGTCAATTAGAAGTGCCAGAATTCTTTTATAAACTGAAAAAAATCCATAAGTCCAAATTTTTAAAAATTTAATATTTCCTTTCTCTGAAAAACATCATAGATTTGTTAATTCAGAAAAAAAATGAGATAATGACCTAATTTGACGACTATACTGTGCTTTACAGTTAACAAATCATTTTTCACATACATTATCTGCTTTTCCTCCTGAGTCCTCTAGCAGGACGCTGGCTTCCCTGAATCTAGTATATACATCCTCTGCCTCCAATCTACAATCCATACTAACACCAGACATTTTTTCTAAAACAAAACATGCCCTTGGCCCAGCCAAAGGGACGAGTCATACTTGGTAGAAGGCATCCTTTTCCTTCAGCTCTTCTTTTGTATATCCTTCCTCGCCTCGAACAACCTTTCCCCACTTCTTTTCCTAATTAATTTTTACTCCAGCTCTAAAAGAAATTTAGCTCAAGTGTTACCCACAAGTGTTACTCAACTGAGCCCAAAGTTAAGTCAGATGCCCCTGTCATTCCTCTAGTTGTGCGTGTACATCTCAGGAACGAACTATACTGAACTGGTGGCTTGGCTGGCAACACTGAAAGCTCTTTATGGGCCATAAGTACTATGTTCTATCTGTTTCTAAATACTCAGAATTCAGCAAAACGCCAAACACAGTTGAAGCATCAGAAAAATGTCTACTGAAATGACTGTGGAGTCCAAGATAGCTCACTCCAATGCCACACTATCAGAGGTTAACCTAAATTTCACAAATAGCTTTACATATTTACCTTTCAACCATCTATGAGAAAAGCATACATGCAGGAAATTGATGCCAATGGCATTTGAAAATATTAAGCCATCATTCTAATATGCTAAAACTTATTTTGAAGACTAAGGGAACAATCTTCATAATTATCAAAGAACAATTAGGAAATATAAGAAAAAATTATCTTTTCCTTACATATACTTTCACAAGCCTACTATCACGAAATTCCACATTGTTTCCTAAATGTTACCAAGGAGCCCAGTATTAGGGACTGTACTTGTAAAAGGTACTTGTCAGTTTTAGTATACCAGGTCAACCTAATCTTAATTTGTGTGACCCTGTAAATCAACCTAGTCAATTCAACAAATTTATGACAAGTAGAGGCAATAAGCAATGACGATTTCAAATACTTATTAATATAATATTCAATTAATTTTCTATGTTCATACACTCATGACAATATCACTTTTAGGCCTTGGGCAGAAAGGGCAGGTTGGGAGGAAGGATGTTACCAGTGCTTCTGAAAGAACTGAGCTGAACTGAATGGTGTTGGGCAAGCTGATGAGGCAAAGATACAACAGAAGCAGAGGTTCTAGTGTGCTCCCCCTGAAAATGTAACTGACAATGCATGTACCAGATTATTTCGTATTTAACAAAATGGGTATATTTCATAAAGCAAAAGGGAGGGGGAAAACTAATTAATTCTGCACCTCCAATGAAAACTACAACAGCTCACAAATTTGGCATACCCAAAAGAAACTCACCTGGTCTCTTGTTTCAGCCTCCTGAATCTGAATTCCTTGCAACTGTTTTTCATAATTGGAACACATATCACAACGTCTACCAAGTTTATTTCCAGCATTATGTACCTGAAGGGCACCAAAATTACCTCTTATCAGGCAGAACAAAATAATTCTACATCACATACTTGAGGAACACAGCACAGTCTTACTTATATTACTCAGTGTAGAACATGGAGTAAACAATTTCTTCAGGAACTTAGGGCAAGAAGTTACAACACAGGGTTGGATTATATAAAGTCGTAAGCTCTAGTACAAGTATGATAGGAAAACAAGGGACACAGCTTTACCACCAAGAGACTAAGTGCCACAAAACACCACATTTGAGGAAAACACAAAGCAAGCAAAAGGTACTACACCGTGGAACTCACAACTGAAACCCAGCCAAGGAAGGGGATGGGAGGAGGAGCCAGTGCCAATTAACCATTTCACCTGCTCCAATTACCAAGTAGGTATGAAACTATTAAGTAGCACCTTCTCACATGTTAGAGGAGAATAGTTTCCTTCATGCTTAATAAGCTGTTCTACTTACTGAATGACAGCTTCTTTAAAGAGAAGTAGCCCTGAGTAAAGGAAAGCACTAGGAGTCAGAAAACCTGTGTTTTAAGCCAGGTTTGGTAAGTCAAAGGGGAAACTTAAGCGACTCACTTGACCTTTTGAGCTAGTTTCTTCATCTGTAAACGGGGGACAATCATGTCCTGACTGCCTCATTATTACCAAGAAGCTCAAAGAGATGAGGTATGTGAAAGGGCTTTGTAATCTGTAAAGCACTACACAAGTTTATATTTTAGTTTTTAAAAGTCTCCTATCTTACTTCTGAATTTACAAATATGATTAGAAGGAAAATTAACCTCATTAAAGGTGGCCTTTTTTTCTCTCCCATATTTTCCACCCCCTCCTTAAATTTGCTCTCAGCATTGACTACTTTAGATCTGAAGGAAAGATGAAAAAGTAAGAACCTTGGAATACACTGAGATTACAGAAATTGTAGAGCAAACAAGTTCAGGCTACTCTAACTCAAAGTTAGCTACGCTACTCAGGCAGACTGCTCCAGCCTCAGAGGTGTGACTGCAGGTAGAGAAGTTCACACTCAATGTAATCAACTAGTTAGTTCCTTCTCCATCATAATCCCCTGGAAGAGCCAAAGCAGACTATGACGAGGGCCAGACGATATGGGTGGACACCCACTTGCTAGCAGCATGTGCATGTACTGATTCAGGAACTATCTTCTGAATGAACAATAAATCCCAGTTACCCCGTATTGCTCAAAGTGATCAGGAGGCAAAAAGAAAGATAACTCACCTCTTTTTGCAGGAGATTCCATTCTGTCTCACTGACTAAGCGATAACCACTGGGGGACACATAAGCACTTTCCATACTCTGGGTGACACTGGAGAGGAGGGATGCCGTCTCTTCTTGTTCAGGTGTCATTGCCTTGATTGCTCTTTCTTGATCTTTGGTTAATGTAAACCCACTTGGCATTTGCAGTGACCCAAGGGAGGCAGTATCAAAGTTCTCAGACACTGAATCTGCTCCTACAAGTGGTCCAAAATCTGATTCATCCAGGTTTCCAGCAGATTTTGCTTTGTAGTTATAGCCTAAAGCTTTGGATTGCAGTGAGCCTGAGGTTCCCAAGCTGTCTGTAGACTGTGCTCTCCTGAGTCCATCTTTAAACATGTCATTGTCCAATTTACTGAATGGATCTCCAGATGGCAATAGTAAATCTGCATCTAAGGAATGGACTGAACCATGGGTACTATCTAAATGCTCCTGAAATGTGAAAACACATATTGTCATGTTAGACAAGTCTCTGTATTTTCAAAAAGGAAAACTACTATACTTTTATTTTGCCACATCTTACATTGATAATAATTAGTGTGTTACCTTCATGTATTTACTAAACAAACATTTATTGAGTGTCTTCTATATGCGGGGCACTAAACCAGGCACTTGGGGTACAACTATGAGCAAGATACAACTTGCATCCTGAGCTCAGGATACAACTGTCAGCAATCTCTACCCTCAAGATGTTTACAGCTTTGTAAAAAAACTAAACAAGGAAGAAGGCTATCAGAACACCATATTTAATAAAATGACAGGCTACAACTAGGTACTGAATGCTTTGGTAGCTCAAGGAGAGGAATTTAGTCCACACATAAGGAATAAGAGAAGGTCTGCTGAAATTCAGTGCTGAGTATGTTGAATGTGAGGCGCCTGTTGTATAGCCACATGGAGATGTCCATGCAACAGAGGAACATAGAAGTTTTTAGAGAGAGACTGGGAGTAACCATCTTATAATGATCATTCAAGTCACAGCAGCAAGTCAGAGCACCTAAGATGAGTCTGTCGGATGAGAAGGTCAAGGGCAGAACCCTAAAAAACACATTTTGGGGATGGACAAAGGAAGGAGTAGCCAGAGTGGCAGAAATGAAATGATTCCAAATATATAACATTTCCAGAATAGATAAGTCCATAGAGACTGAAAACAAACTGGTGGTTGCCAGAGGCTGAGAGGAAAAGAGGGTGGGGAGTGACTCCTTAATGGATATAAGGTCTCCTTCTGGGGGTAATGCAAATGCTTTGAAACTAGAGAGAGGTGATGGTTGCATAACATTGTAAATGTATTAAATGCCACTGCACTTTAAATGGTTAATTTTATGTTACGTGAATTTCATCTCAATTTTTAAAAATGTGGTGCAGCACATTCCCAAAGTCAAAAAGTGCACCAGTGACATTCCATGATGTACCTGCACAGCTAGTGAGGACTATGAAACAAGGAAAATGCAGTGAGTTTCTCTTGAACTAAATGTACTCAACTTAAAGTACTAGCCTTGCCCAGCTGGATGTGGCTCAGCGGTTGAGAATGGACCTAGGATTCAGAAGATCAAGGTTCGATTCCTGGTCAGGGCACATGCTGGGGCTGCAGCTCAATCCCCAGTCGGGGGCATGCAGGAGGCAGCCAATCAATGACTCCCATCATTGATGTTTCTCTCTCTCTCTCCCTCTCCCTTCCTCTCTCTGAAATCAATAAAGATAAATTAAAAAAAAAAAAAAAAAACTAGCCTTTATTTTAAGATAATAGCCTTTCTACTTTTTATTGTTAAATGTCCTTCCTTTTATGAACTAGAAAAGAATGTGGAATACGAAGTTTTTCAATGTTTAAAAAAATATCCTAACTTGGTATAATAAAAAGTTGACTTTTATGTTAAGTTCTCCATTTTTTTTCTTTTAAAGATTTTTTCATCTGTGAAATTCAGATGACTAAGGAATACAAATCCAGTACACATTAAACTAGCTATGCAAATGTCCCAAAGAAGTATCCTAATAAAAATTGGCAACCCATTCTGTGAACTTATGGAGGAGCCTAACATCTAGTGCTATCACATACAATGCTGCTGTGACACACAGAAGGAAGGGGACAGGGGCCAATTTAAAAACACCACACCAGACTAGACCAGCCAGTGTGGCACAGTGGCTGAGCATCAACCCATGCACCAAGAGGTCACTGGTTCAATTCTCAGTCAGAACACATGTCCAGGTTTCAGGCTCAATCCCCAGCAGGGGGCATGCAGGAGGCAGCCCACTGATGTTGAGGCATTGATGTTTCTACTCTCCCTCTCCCTTCCTCTCTCTAAAATAAATTTTAAAAATATTTAAAAGCACTAAACTACCATGATGGTAACAGTGTAAGGGACACTTCTAGGGGAAGTGTAAACTGTTATGGTGTTTCCAAAAGATGATTCAACAGTGTGTTCTAATACCTTAAAAATGTTTACATCCTCAAACTTAGCAGTTTTCCCTCCACAAACTTATATTAAAGAAGTAATCAGATAAGTCCATAATGACTTTTGTACAAAAAAGAATGATATATAATAGCATTATGGCATTACTTATAATAATGAAAAATTTGATACTAATAAAAAATGGAATGAACTTGACTATATATCAGTGTGTAAATAATGTTTTTTAATTTTCTATATTTTACAATGTTTTTGACATTTTGGGGCCTTGCTGGCCAGGGAGAGACTGCCTCTCCCAAGCTAGCTAATTCCCAGAATAAACAATTGGCCTACAAACATGCCTTTCACATACAAATCAACCAATCCTGAGTCCATGCCCCTAACCAATTCCTTTAGCCAACTCTTACACACCAAGCCAGTATGTCCCATAGCCTACCCCAAGCCCCCTGGAATTATTCAAACTACCCAATCTTATGCTGTTTACCCTGCCCTGCTTTCCTTTTTTCTTAAAAACCCCAATGGCTATAGTCCAGGGGTGGGGAACCTTTTAGCTCCAAGGGCCATTTAGATATTTATAACATCATTCATGCACCATACAAAATTACCAACTTAAAAATTAGCTATGAAAAAAGCTCCTAGATTTATTGAATTTCGAGTCCTGCCTGTGGATGCCTTGGCAGGGCCAGACCAAATGATTTTGCGGGCTATATACAGCCTTCCAGCCAGATGTTCCCCACCCCTGCTATAGTCCATGCTTTCCCCTTGCTCTGTACTGCCTCGTGACCAACTCTGCTTCTTCTCCAGGTGGCTCTGCATGGTATGCCATGACTCTCATTTCTAAGAAGACTGTGAACACCATTAAACTTTTCTTTCACTGGAATTGACCTCTCTATATCATCACTCAGTCACTTTTACAAGTTAAAACCTAGGCACAAATCAAGTAGTAAATTATGGAATTAGTACACTTACATGCTAAAATATGTCAGCCATTAAATATCATTTTTGGAGAAAACATTTACTGATGTGTCAAAATCCTTAAAGACAGACAAGTGGAGGAAAAATTATATATAAGACATTATGTAGAGTGCCCGGCCGGGCGTGGCTCAGCGGTTGATCGTCAACCTAGGATCCAGGCAATCAGGGTTCGATTCCCAGTCAGGGCACATGCCCGGGTTGCGGGCTCGATCAATGACTCTCTCATCATTGATGTTTCTATCTCTCTCTCCCTCTCCTGTCCTCTCCCTGAAATCAATAAAGATATGTTTTTTAAAAAAACAAAACAAAACAAAAAAAACATTACGTAGAGTTACAACTGGATTATGTTTAAAAAGTGCAAACAGAAACCCATATACATTAGCTTTGGAAATAAAAATAGAAAAAGAGGGAAAGGAGAGGTACATACCAAAATATTATTGGTGGTTATCTCTGGGGAGTAGAATTACCCACCAGTTATTTTTATTTTGTATACCTTCCTGAATTTCCCAAATTTTCTATAATGACCATATATTACCTTTGTAGTAAGAAAAGCATAAGCATCAGCTTAAAAAAAAGAGGAGGTCCTACAAATTTAAATGATTTTATCAATAAATATGACTAAGTTTCCAAAGCATTCCATATTAACTTTAAACCAACAGGCCATAAAGTAAATTGTCATGATTCTCAACACAAAACAAATATTCAAAATATCAGAGTTGAAAGTCTAAAAGATAATTCAAATGTCAGGAAATAATGGTATACACAAAATAGCAGATCTGTTAAGACAGAATCAAAAATTTTAAAAATCACAAAAAAATCTCCCTGTCCTCTTTTCCTACTAAAATATTTTTGGAAATGTTTGAAACTTTTTCAAACATTCCTAGACACAGAACTGCATGACACAGAAACCACATATTTGGCAGTACCCAAAAGTTGAGACACTCTCCTGGGAATCTAACTATTAAAATAAATAAACAGCAGAATCAGGCCTAGTGGCCCTCAGTGTATGATCCAAAATCAGTAACACAGAAAAACAATTACATCAGACTTTTCAATGTCCACTAGGATTTTTAACTTTTTTTAGTGTCAAACAATCCATAAACATGGAAATGTAAGCCACCAGGAAGATTATACAACATGGCTCAGAGTAAATCTGCAAACTATACAGAAACATGTACCTCTGAAAGTAGGTAAAACCCTGATCCGCTTTAATTGAAACTGATTTACCAGGCCAGGAAAGGAGGGAGGGGTAGGAGAGTGAGTATGACATTCTAAACAGTATAAACAAGGCATATGAGCACTGACAGTAAGCAGAAAGTCTGGAGCAGTTTTTCAACTGTGAAGCCCATTGTATGCCAAACTAGGGACCTTTTTTTTTTTTTTTAGTTTTTATCCTAAAGGCAATAAGAGAAGCATTTCCATCATTGAAGAGGAGATACCAACATGAGTCTTGAAGAATAAAAAGAAAGGTTTCATATTAGAAAGACAGGGGGAGATAAGCCTCCCAGGTGAAGAAGCCAGCATGCAAGGTGGGGTGTGTAGCACAAGACAACCGATGTGGCTAAAACAGAGTGCATATTATGGATGGCCTCCATTGTCTGAGTGACGAATCTGCACTTAATTATGAAGGCAATGAGAGGCAGTGATAGTTCTGAGTAGGGGAGTGGCCTGACTACAGCTGCACTTAAGAAAAATAAACCTAACAGTAACACTGAGGGTGCAGTGGGGTGGGACCGGCTGAAAACAGGAAACCTAACGAGGAGACCCTTGCCACACTGCGGATGAGAGGTGGCGAGGCACAGGAACACCACCTTATACTTTCCACTTCCAAGTCCCTCTACTTACCCATTCCCAATACCTGAAATGTCCTACCCTTTCCCATCACAATCTGCCAAACCTCACCTACTATTCTCAGGGCTTAAGACCTAATACTGGTTAATACTTAATACATGCCATAGGGAGTGAAGTGTTTCAATATTTTAGATAATCTCTTTTAAACAAAAAGCTCAAAGTTTTAGCAACATTAACTATTCATATTAAGATTTTACAGATATTAAAGATTTCTTCTAATGTTTTAATTTTGGAACCACTGGATAAAAGAAGATCTGATTATTTCAGAGGCTATGAGAGAAACTACAATGTTTCAAATAGTACTACTTATAACACCATAAGAATAACTGTAAGTATTATCATTTTATCTAATTTTCAGTTAGTAGTTATACACTTTCCATATGAACAATGTAATTGATTAATGTATGAGAAGCTAAAATGGTAACATCATGGACACAATGATTTTAATTACAGATTCACTATACCTCTTCATTTGATAACTGGGCTGAAGATTCTTCATGGGTTAAAGCACACACTACTGGTATTTTCACTTCTTCCTCAACATCTGTTTTTTTGTGGTCCTTTCTCTTATTAAGTCTTTGTTGTTCATCTTCCTCCTAAAAGTTAGGATGAAAAATAAATACATATATTACCCAGGTAATCTATATTTAATGATTCATGTAGTTCTTTAACCACCCAAAACAAAAAAGAATAAGAACTTTATGATGAGAGAAAACTGGAAACTTAAGTTTGTTTTGTAATCACATCTAAGGGCATCTGGTCAAAACAAAATGTTTTAATACTATAGGCACAAAGTATGAATACTAATAAAAAGAAGAAATCAAGAAATAGCTTCCAAGAAAGTATACAATGTGAAAGGCAAAACAAAAGAAAGCAAGCCAACCCTCTTCAAATGATCCAAGAAAGTAAATTTACGTAGAAGAGTCCTTCAGGCCATGGTAGAAAACTAACAGGAAAAAGTAATTCGTCATCCACTAGAAAGATGTAACGCTCAGCTGGTTGGGGGTCGCCAACTGTACCAAAAGGGTGCTGGTTCGATTCCCCAGTCAGCACAGGCCTAGACTGTGGGCTCGATCCCGGTGTGGGGAGTACAGGAGGCAGCACCGATGTTCTGCTCTCACATGGATGTTTCTCTCTCCCTCTCCCCGCCCTCTCCCTTCCTCTCTCTATAAATCAATAACAAATCTTTTTTTAAAAAAGATGTACAAATTTCTATGAAATACAAAAGGAATGATTGAAGTTTATGTAATCATTCACTCAACAAACATGAGTAAGATACCTTTAATGCCTAGTGGGGTGGGACCAACTCACAAACAACTGTAATACCACACAAAAGAATGTTTTTTTAAATGACTGCTTTCACTGAGGGAGCTAGAAAAGGAGACCTCAGAAGGTAACTTTTTGGCTGGATCTTGAAGGATCAGTAAGATGAGTCTGCCAATTTTGTGAGAGGAGACAAGCAAGGGTTCCAGGAAGAAAGGAAGCAGGTACAAAAGGACAGGGGCACAGGCAGCCATCTCGGGGAATTCTGAACAATCTGAAAAGAGGGTAGGCACATGAGGAGTGAGACATATGGAAGGCAGGTGGCGATTAAGTGACAGACTCTGGACTCAGAGACTGGCTCAAACCTCAGATCTGCCATTGGTCTCTTCATTTGGATAGTATTACTGTTTTAAGAACTACATCAGATAAAGCTTTATATTTAAACTTAGTACAATGCTGACATATATATAGTAAAAGCTCAATAAATTTTAATAAAGGCTTTAAATGACTAGTTACACGAGTTAAGGCTGTTTTATTGGTTAGAAGGGGTATGATTAGATCTGTACTTTAGAATCTAAACCTTTAAGTTGACTGTGTCTACACACAAGATGAATGATTCAGAATTAAGAAACAGAAAAAAAAAATTAAAAAGGAAGAAACCTCTGAAAAACAAACTGTAGCCTAAGACATACAAGGTAATTTAAAATATTTCTAATAATACCTAAAAAACCTTCTACATAGCTATCCTGGGGAAATAATTGTACACACACACAATTAGCTGCAACACTGTTAAAACAACAGACACAAAAGGAAACCATTTAGATGCCCACCACAAGAAGGACTAAGTCAATTACAGCACATCCACGCTACCAGCTAACAAGAGACAGATCTCTGATGTGAAAATATATCCAAGATAATGCTTATGAGAAAAGTTATAGAATACTTATACTATGATACCAGTTGTATGAAACAAAATCCTAAACATACATTAATAAATACATAGCAATGGTTGGGAAGACTATCTTCCAAACTGATTACACCTTATTTAAAAAGTGGTTACTTCTTCCCTGGCTGGTGTAGCTCATTTAATAGGAGCATCGTCCCATACACCGAAAGGTTGTGGGTTCAATTCCTGGTCAGGGAACATTAAAAAGTGATTATTTCTGGGAAGGGAGGTGTGGGAGAAATGTCAAGGGACATCTTTTTTCACTTTATCATTTTATATTTATAATTTTACTTTGTACTTAAGATATTTTTAACCTGAGGATGTACTTGTATATTACTCAAATAATTTAGATAATTTTTAAATCGTAAGGAGCAAACAGGATCTTGAGTATGCAGCATTCTAGACACTTGCCTTTACACATCACTCAGCCTCTCCATCCCCACCCTGTCACCTTCTAATAAGGCTTTTAGAGCAATGTCACGGAAGACTTGGCCTGGATTAACACACTGCAAGAGACCTAGAGGAACTGGACAGAACTGGAGAGAAAGAATTTCTCAGAAATACACACTGTGGCATCCTAGTCTCTGAAGTGGATCATTTCTAAATGTGTTTTTTCCTTCAAGAAAGGCCATTTCTAAAGTTGAAAAACAAAATCTCTCAAATGCAGCTATGATGTTTTTTGAAATGCCATATATCACCTTATTTCAGGCTTAAGTCAGTCTCCAACATACATAAAGTAATGCAGTCACATGTATGTGGGTGGGTGAGGGTGTATTAACAAAGCAAGCAAGTCCTATAAAAATGCTACTCACCTGGTCTTTCTTTTTTAGTTCTTCAACTTGTCGGAGCTGTTCTGAAGTTAGCACAATCTCCATTCTCTGCATGTCCCTCATCAGCAAACGTTGAGATTCCAGAAACTGGTCATTGGCCTTCTGCCACGTATGTTTTAACTGGTTGTGTTGTTGTCGCTCTTGCTCCAAGAGATGGCAAACTATAAGAATCCCCCAATCAAAACCACTTAATTTCAATTGTAGGCAACAGAGTGCTCCCCAAATTTCTTTGACAAAAATATCCGTTTCACAGTACCGCTCGCATAGCAAGTGTTCTAGGAAATACACTTTGGGAAATGCTGCCCTAAAGGCCAAAGTTTGGTAACCACCCCTGTCTTTAATACAATCTGATAAATCTGTTACCTAGGAACCCTTCTTGAGCCCATTTAGTTTTGACCTCTCAGGATAAGTCAAAAAATCTTGGTAAATGTTTGTCGTTGATGCTCATCAGCTCAACCATCTTCGACTGAGAAAAGAGCAGGCAGCGTCATCTCTCCATCCACTCAGCCACCCGAGCCAGAAACCTAAGAGACAACTCCTAGCTCTGGCTTTCCCTCACCCAACATTCAGAAGCCTACTATTGTGACAGAAGCCGACTAATGCCACCTCCTTTGCAGTAAGAAACAGCCATCTTCTGCCTTAGATCAGCCATCATAGCTTAGACAACTACAGCACAGTCCCTTTGTTATTCCTCCTGCCATTAGTCTTGCCCTCTCTACTCTATCCTCCACCGTTGTTAAACTGAACTTCCTAAAATGCACAATTAATATTATCGCTTGCAAGTTTAAAACCCTTCAGAGAAGCAACATGTTGTATAATCTTACTTATACAGAAATCCAGAACAGGCAAATCTATAGAGACAGAAAGTAGGTTAGTAGTTGGCAAGGGCTGGGAGGGAGGAGAGAACGGGGGATGTCTGGCAATGGGTACAGAACTTCTTTTTGGAATAAGAAAAATGTTCTGAAATTAGAATATAACCAGTGAATTGTACACTTTAAAAGAGTGAACTTCATGGCATGTGAATTATATCTCAATAAAGCTGTTATTTAAGAAAAAAAGATTTTAAACCCTTCAGAGGCCTTACTGCCCACAGGATAAAATCCAAAATCCCCAGCGTAAGGTCTCTGTGATGCGGCCCAGGCATACCTCTGTTTCATGTTTTGCACTAATGCCTCTTGCATCCTGAACTACACTTCTTCACTTCCTTACCTTGTTGTACCACATGCAAATGGCCTTGAATGTTACGCTCATCTCTGACAAATGCCTGCCTTTTAAACCTCCACTTAAGAACAACTTCTTTGAAGAAGCCTATCTGTGGCACTGCTGCCTCCTAACACACTTCCAATCCCAATCCTAGCACCCATCATTTGCAACTGCACTAACTTGGTTGTATATCTAATTCCACCAATTTAGGCTGTCATTTAACTGCTGCTTAATCTTTGTCTGTCTTCATCCAAATACCTTTTTTTTTGGTGTGTTTCATTATGGAAATTACTCTATCCCATATTCATTTGAGTGAAACTTCTCAGATACTTTTCCAGATATATTAGGGAGGTTTGGCAGTCTTCCACTATTTCTGGAAGGGTTAGGGCACATAGTTTAAACAGAAATTCCTTTTTTTTCCCCCCTTGGACACCCTTTCAGGGTTTGAGTGTCTTTTTCACTGCTGCAGCACATTTGAAAAATGTTTCCTGAAAGCCAAAGACTTGCTCAAACTTTGGATTATTTTCATAACATTTTATGAAATAATTCTGTACACTTATATAATTTCAGCTTTCCACTATTTGGGGGGAAAAACACTAACTCATATGCAAATCTAAATTATTTACAGAAGAAATGTCCCACAGCATTTTATAAACTTAAAAGTATTCACTGTAGGACTCTCATCACCACAGCCCTAAACCTGCGTATTAAAATGCGTTACTAGCACAACCTGCGACAAGTGTAGGATTCGGATAAGGAAAACAATTAGATCTTTATTTTCACTAACCTCTAACTGAAATTTATAATTTGCTTCAATTATGAAATGTAGGCAGCCAACCACAGTAAGTATAATAATACCTATGACTTGGTCACCAACAGAAGCAATGGCTATCTTAACATATCATTTATGTTCATCACTACTTCAAAATTACAAGTTTTTAGACCTGCTGCTAGACCTTGTTATTTAATGCATTATTGAAATAGCACATTTATTACTATACCACAAGTTGGCCGTTATTTATATTTTGATAACTTTTTAATAATATAATTGGTTTCTTTTGTAATCCTATGTATTTTGGGGATTAAAAACATTATTCTGAAAGGGCTTCACAAAACTGCCAAAAGACCATGACACAAAAAAGAACCCCGGGTGTATAGGAATCACTAGAAGAATTACAGACAAAAGTATATTTTTATTTTAATGGGGAAAAGATGAGCTCTCTTCCTCTATCCTGGGAAAATAGTCAATTTCTGCATCTTTCTGCTACCAGACCAGTGAAATCAAAATTGTCCCTTATAAACAGGGAAGTTTCTTAAGAACACCAGAATACACTATCTGTCCTCTCTGTCCCATATTCACTTTTGCTAATCCACCTCCATCCAAATGGGTAGAGGGCAAAAGTAGTTTAAGCAGAAGTTTCCAGCCCTATTTTCTTTCAGCCAAGAGCTCATGTCCTGTGAAGAAGTTATTACTGGGGTCCTAGAAGAAAGAGAAGCCAGTAACAATCTAAGTATCCTTAGTAGCCCTCACATCTCCAACAGCAAAGCTTAAATTAAATCACTAACATATTGGGTTGGCATTTTAAGATTTGTTATTGTTCTTGTTAATCAGTATCACAGTTCTCTTACAGACTAAGATAAAAAATATACAGAATATATATTTACCTTCATGCAATTCTTTCCGCAGTTTCTCAGCATCTTCCTGTAGAACGGATTTCTGAGTATTCAAAACAGCTACATACATCTCTAGATCAGTCCTACAAGATTTCTCAGCCTCCAGATAATGATTCAGTTCTTTCACCTGAAACAAGACACAATTCTATTAAACTACAATTTATATACTTACTACAAAAATTGGGAAAATAACCAATTAATAGTAGGCATTATCTATAATCACATCATGAGAATAAATATACAATTGAGATTACATACAAATTTTGTACCTTCTTTTCAAAAAGGTAGTTCAAATCTGTATTCCCAGAGCCACACATACATGTGCTCATTTCATCACATACTTAGTAACACCAGGCTGTTGTTTTTATTTTAAACAGTAGTTACTTTCTAAGGATAAAAATAGTACCATACACTTATAAGTTTGTTTTTCTTTGATTTCTAATGAGAATAATTCCAAATGCCTTAAATTTATAAAATGGAGACATTTCCACACATATATTCATGGAAGGAAAAAAGAGGAAGTCATGATGGAGAATAACTGGTCTCATACTGTAACAAACACAAATTTGAAGGCAAATGCTGAATACTTTTTAAAATCACATCTTTTAAAAACTTGTTTTATTTCTGTTGAACAATCAACTATAATGTTCAAATATTAACAATTTAATCTAAACTGAAACAGTTGTAACCAAAATAAAATGCAATATTGCCCTGGAAAGTGATTATAGAATCATTTGTTTTCAAACAGTTGTGTCTAATTTAATTTTCAAGGTCATTTTCATGCCTTTTATCTTCCCACTTCTTCCAACATGAAATAGCTGACTGATCTGTTTCTAGTTATCTTTACTCCTAAACTATTCATTCAATACAGTAGTACTGGTCATAGACTAAAATAATTATTAAAAGCTGCCATTTGATGCTTCACTGGAGGTTTGTCAGCCAATCAAGCATGACAAAGTGCTGGCTGTTGTGAGGCATTTTCTTTATTACCTGGGGAGGGTGCTAATTCAATTTATGGTAAAAGAGAGTCAACATGACAGATATAAAATGGTGGTATGTGCCACTAATTCTATTAGTTATTACTTCTTAGAACAAATATTTGAGTCAATTAATAATTAATGAATTTCTAATATTCAAAAACTATTGAGCAGAACTCTGGGAAAATGGTGGCAATGGTGGCACAGTACATGAATTTCCTTGAATTCCATACGTCCTAACAACAAAGCTAATAAAATAACAAAACCAGCCCTGGCTGATGTGACTCAGTTGGTTGGGCGTCATCCTATACACCGAAAGGTTGCCAGTTCAGTTCCTGGTTGGGGCACATTTGATCCCAGGTAGGGGAAGTGCAAGAGGCAGATGATTGATGTTACTCTCTTATATCAATGTTTCGCGCGCTCTCTCTCCCTTCCCTCCCTTCCTCTCTAAAACTCAATTTTAAAATCTTTAAAAAAATAAAATAACAAAACCAAAAACACATGGATATCTCCAAAAACACACAAAAACAAGTGATAAATAGAAGGTGGGGACAAACCACTGAAAGCTGACTATATAAGCTTATGCGGAATCATCATCTATGCAGGAGAAAGTAATGGAAAGCAACATGGGCCCCCGAGAACCCCAAAACAGTCAACTAGGGCTCCAAATTGACAACAGCAGCTAGAACTGGGAAGAGTTTCGCACACTCCAATAGTGGGTGAACACAACAAATCTGTACTGTAAAACATAACCTGGTTAGGGTAAAATGGTATCCCATTTTCGCCTACATTTCCCTGATTTCTAGTGAAGTTCAGTATCTTTTCATATTCCTTGACTATTGTGATTTCCTCTTTTGTGAACTGCTTGTTCATATTCTTATTTCTCTACTGGGCCATTTGTCACTTATGGGCTAGGCAATTTTTATTAATTTTGGATACTAATTTTCTGTCAGGTTATCTATAGATAGATAAGTCTATAGCTCTTCAACTCTATGTGTGATATCTTTTAATAAGTTTTATCTTCTATGGTAGGCAAATTTCTCAACCTTTTCTTTCACAGGCAATATTTTTATCTTACATTTTTGTACCCCAAATAACATTCTTGTCTTAAATATCTAAAAGTTTTAAAGATTTACTTTTCACTCTTATGATTTTTAATTCATTAAAGTTAATATTTGAAAAAGTGTGAGGTAGAAAGCTAATTTCACTTAATTCCATATTTATAAGTAATCATTTTAAAAGCCTGTTTTTTAACAATCCTTTCTTTTCCCATGATTTGTAATGCCACTTGTCATATATCAAATTTTCATATATGGTTCTGTTTCTGTGCTCTCTAGTCTGTTTCACTGGTCCATTTGTTTATCCCTAAATCAATAACAAACTATCTTAATTACAGTAGCTTTACTATTAGTGTTAGTATCTGGTAGAAAGAGCAAGTCTCCTCACCCTGCCTTCTTAAAATTTCTGCTAGATATATTTCTGATTCTTGGCTTGTCTGAATGAATTCTAGGGTCTACTTATCAAGCTCCTTGTTGCAGTTTTGAAAGGAATTCTGAATTTATAGATTAATTTGAGGATATAGAGTATGCTTTTTTTGGCTGTTGCAAGGTAGTTTTCTTTAATTGCAGCAAGTAAAAGAGAAGGAGATTCACAAAGTTCTGCTCCCCTGAAGAGAGCCTTAGCCATTACTTATATATACACACTGTTTGGTTAATTACACATTGATTTCTTCTTTGCAGTTGGCTACATCTAACCATTGAGCTCCTGTCAAGCTCATTCTGTTTACAACTACAACTGCAAAATACTCCATGGCAACTCAAGGCTCCTTCACCTCTGTCAAGCTCCTAAGTATACTGCCTGCTTTATAATACATTATCTTTTCATTAAGGAACACACATGTATTCAGACCTTCATTTTTAATATAGGGTGGGGCAAAAGTACATTTACAGTTGTGAGTACGTGAAACAGAGTTTATTCTTGTATTATTACTTATTAAATTCCTTAAAGATCTTGCCCATTTTTGTTTAGATGTATTCTAGCTAATTATATAAAATAGTACCCCATATTCGAGGAGGATTCGTTCCAAGACACCTAGTGGATGCCTGAAACCAAGTATAGCACCAAACCATATACATGCTGTATTTTTTCCAATATATGCATATACCTTGGGGCTTCTCTTTGGCATATCTAAGTTGCTAGCATCACTACTCTTGTCCTTTGGGGCCATTATTAAGTAAAATAAGAGTTATTTGGGCATAAGCACTATAATACCACAGTGTGATACTGGTAACTGAGACGACTACTAAGTGACTAACAAGCAGGTAACTGACACAGCATGGATATGCTGGACAAAGGGACGATTCACATCCTGGACAAAACCGAGTGGGAAGATGCAAGATTTCGTCACCTCAGAACAGCACACAATTTAAAGCTTATCAATTACTTATTTCTGAAATTTTCCATTTAATACTTTTAGACTGCAGCTGATCTTGGGTAACTAAAACTTCAGAAAGTAAAACTGTAGATTAGGGAGGACTATGGTAGGGTGGTGGTTGTTTTTTTTGCTATTGTGAATGGGATCTTTTTTCCCCCATTACATTGTTTACTTAGCTATTACTGGGGTATAAAAACACTATTATTTTTGTATGTTGATCTTGTAACAACTTTTTTAAACTTTTTTTAAATATGTTTTTTATATATTTTTTTTCTTACCACATTTTTTTTTTTAATATATCTTTATTGATTTCAGAGAGAGGAAAGGAGAGGGAGAGAGATAGAAACACCAACGATGAGAGAGTCAAAGATTGGCTGCCTAACCCGTGACCCAGGCATGTGCCCTGACCAGGAATCGGACCCCGATCGCCTGGATCCGAGGTCGACGCTCAACCGCTGAGCCACGCCCAGCCGGACCTTTTTAAAACTCTCAAAGGTCTAATAACCTGTTTGTATATTCTCTTTCTTTTCTATATAGACAATCAAATCAGTTTCATTTTCTTTCCAGTTCTTATGCCTCATTTCTTTTATCTTGTCTTGCTGCATTGTCTAGGACCACAAAAACAATCTGAACAAAATCACTGAGCATGGATCTCCTCAGACTGTTCCTGTCCTTAACAGTGTATGGTTGCTAAACATTCATCATTAATTATAACGTTAAGTTACTAGGTGTTTAAATTTATCAGCTGCCTTTTGGAATCTAAAATAAATATACTGCTCTTCTAGAATCTTTTTATGTGGTACATAATAAGAGGTTTCCTGGTGATACATCATCCTTAAATTCCTGGGAATACACCTTATTTGGTCATGATGTCTTTTTTTTTTAACCACAATGTTAAAAATTTTTGTTTCTGCATTCCTAAGTGAGATAAATCTATAATTTTCTTTCCTTATACTACCTTTCTGTGGGTGGGTGTTTGTTTGCAATGAAGTTACACAAGTCTCTAAAATGACTTGGAGAGCTTTCTCTCATTTTCTATTGTCTAATACATTTTATAAAGTATAAGGATTACCTCTTTTCAGGTTTACAAAAACTTGCCTACAAAACCAGTTGAATCCAATGTCTTTTGGAGGACATGAAACAGAAGAAATTTTTGACTATAAATTCATTTCCTTTAGTATGACTATTTTAGCTTTTCTATTTTATCTTGAGACAATTCTATCTTTTATTAGAAACTTTTTCATTTCATCAAGTATTTTTCATTTCAAATTTACTTGTATGGCATTGTTCACAGTATTTATTATTTTTAAATCTCTACTGATTTGTAGTTATGTCCCCTCATTAATTTCTAATGCTTTGAGTTTTCTTTTTTCCTGATTAATCTTATTAGAGGTTTGTCTCTATTATTATTTTGTTTGTTTTAAATATGTGGGTTTTTTTTATTTCAGTGAGGAAAGGAGAGGTAAAGAGAAAGAAACATCAATGATGAGAGAGTAACTGATCGGCTGCCTCCTGCACACCCCCCACTGGAGATCGAGCCCGCAACCCGGGCATGTGCCCTGACCAGAAATCAAACCTCAATCTTCTGGATCATAGGTCAATGCTCAACCGCTGAGCCACGCCAGCTGGGTTATGTTATTAGTTTCTTTAAAAGAAGGTTCCCTTAGCTGTCACAACTGGTGTCAGCTGCTGCCATCTTTTTATTTTTAATCTTCACTTGATGATGCTTATTGAGTTTAGAGAGACAGGAAGGGAGAGAGAAAGAGAGAGACATCTATGTGAGAAACACTGATAGGAAGTTGCCACCCATATGTGCCCCCAACTAGGGATGGAACCTGCAACCCAGGTATGTGCCCTGACCAGGAATTGAACCAGGAACCTTTTTGGTGTATGCAACGATGCTCCAACCAACTGAGCCACCTGGCCAGGACTATATTGTTATTTTTTCCATGTTTTCATTATATTGACATTCTTAATTTTTCTTTTGCCTTTCCGTATCACTAATTTCTGCTCTTATATGTGTTATTTTCTTCCATGCATACTGCTTAAACTATTGTTCTTTTTTCTTAAAGATTCTTAAGTAAAATATTCAAATCACTTAAAATATTTTATAATTCCTTTTTCCATACAAGTTAGTATTTTTCATTTCTAGACATTTTATTTTAGCTATCATTTTACTGTAAATAATTTAATAAACTGTAGTCAGATTCTGATCTGTATAACATCAACTCTTCAAAATTTGCTGACAATCCCTTTATGACTTCATGAAAAAAAGTATAATATATCTAAAAATAATAATACTTTATTCTATGCACTACCCTAAGTGCTTTATACGTATTAACTTATATAATCCTCATATTCACCTTATGAGGCAGGTAATATTATTATCCCCATTTTACAACTGAAAGAACTCAAATACAGTAAGATTAAGTAATTTGCCCAAGGTCACCCAGCTAATTCATGCTGAGCTCTTAACTACTGTGCTCTACTACGGTATAAAATATAGTCTCTTTCTTGGGTACAGAGTTCTACGTGTCTTACATCTAAATTATTAATCAGGCTGCTCAAAACTCCTATATCTCTACAAATATTGTTTTTGCTACAATATCACTTGCTAAAGGTCAGTTTAAATATCCTATTATATTGTGAATAACCATTTTTCCTTGTCACTTTTTAGTTTATATATTTCAAGGCCATGTAAGGTGAATTCAAGTTCATGACTGTCTTTTCTTTTTAATGGATTATATATTAGATGGAGTCCTTCTTTATCTCCATTAATTCTTTTTTCTCCACATGCTATGTGTCTCATATCACAATTACTATATCAACTTTCTTTTGGTTAGAATTTACATGGCATATCTTTAAATATCCCTTTATTTTCAATTTCACCTTGTAGTTTTATTTTATGTATATCTCCATTATGCAATATAAAGTTAGATTTAAAAAATCCATTCTCCTTTAGCATGGCCAAAGTGGCTCAGTGGTTGAGCCAGGGGAGCTCAGCTCAATTCCTGGTCATGCCTGGGTTTCAGGCACCATCCCCAGTGTGGGGCATGCAGGAGGCAGCCAATTAATGGCTCCCTCGTCACTGGTGTTTCTATCTCTCTCTCCCTCTCCCTTCCTCTCTCTGAAATCAATTTAAAAAATTTAATAAATAAATAAATAAATATCCAACCTCCTTTAAATAATTATCAACTTACATTTATTAGGATTATTGATACTTTCCCATTTCTACATTCCTACGTTGTGCTTCTGTTTATTATCTTTTCTTATTTTTTGTTTCCTACTTTCTTTTAATTAGTTATTAATTTTTTTAATTGATTTTAGAGAGAGGAAGGGGGTGAGAGAAACAAGGATGTGAGAGAGAAACATCGATTGGTTGCCTCCTGTACACACATCAGCTGGGGATCACACCCGCAACCCAGGTGTGTGCCCTGACTGGGAATCAAACCTGCCACCCCCCAGTGTACAGGACGACGATGCTCCAACCAACTGAGCTACACCAGCCAGGGCAGTTATTAAATTTTTTGACACTGTATTTCTTCTGTTGTGTCTTTATGGCCAACAAATCCAGCCATACTGTAACTACAGCATCTCTAAAAAATCAATTACTGGCTGGCTTCAGAAAACAAAGTCAACTTTGAACAGCTTATTTTCCTTAATAAGAAAATGAATGAAATCAGGTCTCATCCTGATAAGAAAATAAACACTAACTTTGTAACAAAGCAGCATTAGCATCACTATTGTGACTGTTTATAATAGGACAAGAACAAAATCATCTCCCGGGTTTTTTTTGGGGGGTTCTTTTGCATTTTAAAGAAAGCAAGATTCTTAACATGCATAATCTAAATTACAGTGTTTACCCTCTTAATGATTCTAACTTTACTCATGGCATTAGGTCTGAAACTTGCATTTTAAGCAAATGAATTACAATGTCTCACAACCTTTGAGGCTTCCAGCTCTTTAACCTTGTCTTCAGCCTCTGTCAGTTTATCTTTCAAAGCCGCAATTTCCTTCTCCATGGGCATCACAACAGACCGAAGTTTTTCAGCATCCTCTTGCGCCTATGGTTAAAAAGAATTAAATACTACAACTTACTGATTTATTGCTTTTCTAAGAAACTCTGATCCACCCACTTGTTAAAATTAGTGTAACAATTAAGTCTACCAGGCACTCACAAAACTGAAAAATGTCTAACTTTAAATGTTGAATTACTTTAAATGTCAAATCATAATCATAGTTTGTGCATATATTCCATTTAGAATCTGGGTAGGAAAATGAATTCACTATGAAAATTTTGACTTTTAATTGAGTAACTGAATTGGAAAATATCCTATGTATATAAAGAAATACACACAATAAATAGTTTTATAATTCTGGTTACTAAATTAATGAAACCATAATTTCTTATGACTACTGAAAAGACTTTTTAAACGTTATAAAACAGAACAATGTATTTTCTAAAATATTAGAAAACTATGCTGCTATAAAAAGACTTTCATCCAGTTATTTAAACAGAGTACTTTAAATATCATTTTACTTTGATATATAAATCAAACCCAAAAAAATGACCTCTAAAAATATAATACTGTTTTCCATCCTTCATTCTCAAAAGTATGCATTAAAAGGAAAAAGTTTCCATAAACTAATAACCTGGTAATTAAACTTAATTTTATATATATACAAACTGGAACAAAAGCAGGCTCTGAAAGTTAGCGCTTTTCCTCATAGTAAAAATCAAATTAACCTTCTTCACGAATTTTAAATGAGCTCAAGTTTATCTTAATTATTTGTGATAGGGAAAGTATCATATATGCCCAAATACAAGTGGGGAGTTTCCCTAAAAAATGTATTTCTCAGGAAAGAGGGATTCACTTTGTTTTCCATTCTTTACAAAGTCATTTCATCATTTATTTTCTTTTGTAGTAAGTCCAGTTTGAAAGACATGTAAATTTAAAATATCTTCAGTCAAAACTAATTGGGAATGCTTATAGAGGGTCAGCTTATAAAATTCAGCAGGAAAGCAAAAGGTGGGGAAAAGCAAAGAACTGAATTACAGACTGAGTTATTTATTAATGCAAAGATGACCTCACAATTCCAAGTATTACATATCATTAAAACAAAACTTTCAAAAGATGGTGTTTTTTTAATGACAGAAAAGTCATTAAAAACAAGAAAAATCTGAGAAACTGTCACAGCCAAGAAAGAGTATTAGGTAAAAAGTAATGAAATCTGAAAACAAAGAATAGACTTTAGTTAATAAATCAATATTGGCTTATTAATTCTGACAAATGTACCATACTAACGTATAATATTAATAATAGGAAAAAATGGGTGTGGAGTATATGGGAACTCTGTGCTATCTTCACAATTTTTCTGTAAATCAAAAACTGTTCTGAAAATAAAGTTTATTTTTAAAAATAAATTTTTTAAATGACAAAAAGTGACAGATTGTGGAAATCATGAATATGAACCTATTATATTAGAAGAATGGAAAAAACAACTATCCTCTATGAATGGGTAGTTGTGGCTAGGAACAAAATTCCCAATGATAGCATCAAATATGAATTCATCTCAACTTGAGAGAAGTGAAAGCTGTCTACTTTAGATAACTATGCTAGATGACTAAGTGACTCTAGTGATGAAGACACTGTCAGATATGAAGATACTGAATTAAAATCTTTTCTTGAAATGAGAGAATGGGGGAAAATTATTCCTCAAGGTTTAAGCTTGTTTTGGGTGTTGCGTTCTCAGATATTTTTACATTATTAAAAAACTAATTAAGCCCCAGCCAGGATGGCTCCATGGTTAGAGCGTTGGCCCAAGAACTGAAGGGTTTGGGTTCGATTCCCGGTCAAGGCCACATACCTTGATTGTGGATTCAATCCCCAGCTCCGGTCAGGGTGGCATATAGAAGGCAACCAATTGATGTCTCTCTCTCACATAGATGTTTCTTACACTCTCTCTCTTTCTCTCTCTCTCTGCCCCTCCCCCCTTCCCTTCCACACTCTCTAAAAAATATCAATGGAAAAAATATCTTTGGGTGAGGATTAACAAAAAAATTAAAATTAAAAAATTTTTGAAAAAAACTAAATAAATGTGAAAGCAGTACTTATATGGACCAAGAATTAGGAACCAAAGAGTATAATCAATCTGATTGAAAAGTCAAATTCTAATTGTTAGTTTATATAATATGTTATTTAAAATATATGTATGCATATAAATTAATAATGTACAAGTTTAAATTTTCTCAATGATAAAATGTTTCACCTTGAATTTGGTTGGTTGTTTAGGTACCTTATGGTAATATGTTCAACATAATATGCAGTGCATTCTTCACAAAGGAACCAAGGTATATTGAGGAAGAAGGGAAACCAAAAACTAAAGCTTTGGTTTAGACACAATCACCAAGCAACAACACTCATTCAACAAATATTTATTGAGCACCTATGTTCTAGATACTATTCTAGGCATGTAGGATACACAAATAAACAAGACTCCTGCCCTCATGGAGCATACATTCCAGCAAGGAGAGAAAGGCAGCAAACAATAAACATAAAAAATAGGTGAATGCTATATATATTATAACATATGCACTATGGGGGGAAAAATTAGATAGGATATGGGTGATCAGAGGAGAAAGGTGCATAGGTTGTAATGTTAAATAGGCTGGTCAGGACAGGCCTCACGAGGAGACATTTGGTCAAAGATTTGAAGAAGGTGAGGGAGTTTTCCATACAAATATATGCGGGAAGGGCATCAAATTACCCAGTACTATGTTTAGGTTTGTGTCCAAATAATTCCTCTAACTGAAAATATAAAAGTACATCTTCTATTACCACAATATTAAAGCATCTTGCATTTGCATTCAAATATATCTACAGATAAATACATTCCTTCATACCTTTTTCATTTCATTTTCTAAATTTTCCTCCTCTTGACCTTCAGACAGCCTTCTCCTTAAATCAGCTATTTCCCTCTCTGCAGATTCTCGATACTGTGACCACTGTGTTCGCTCCTGCTCCAGGCGAAGGTGGAACTGGTGCTCATAGTCACGAACTGTTTCTACAAAACATCACCAAATATTTCAAGTCTAAGCATTCTGAGAAAAAAAAATGTTCTGGCACACTAAAATTTTAAGTAGTTACATAAAGAGCTTTTGCCTAATTTCTGGAAATCTTTTATCTCACTAAAAAAAACTAAACTATATTTCTAGTTCTTATTATGTGTAGAAATTTTGCTAAGGGCTTTTAAATCATCATCTCTAATCTTCAAATAACCCTGTCATATCATTTTACAGATGAGGAAAGCTTAGGAAAGGTTACATACTCTAGCCAGTTTGCTTTTCTAAGGCAGACTGAAGGAGCAGCAGCCATGAGGCAAAATGAGAAACAGAATGACTGAAGGAGTCTAGGATACTGGGGACACTGTGGAATCACTGTAACCAGCTCTAGATTACCTACCTCTGGGATTCTTCTTCTGTAAGTAAAATGAACTCCTATTTGTGTAAGCCATCATAGTGAACACTGTTACAGAGGCTCAGAGTAATCCCTAGGTGATAGCCACAAACTCAGAAAGATGGCTAGATTTAACCTGCCGTCTTACAGAGAGCACTAAGGCAAAAATGACACACAACTGCCCAGCCGGTGTGGCTCAGTGGACACAGTGTCTTCCCATGCACCAAAAGGTCACTGCTTCTATTCCGTCAGGGCACATGCCTGGGTTTGGAGCTCAATCCCTGATAAGGGGGTGTGCAGGAGGCAGCTGATCAATGTTTCTAACTCTCTCTCCCTCTCCCTTCCTCTCTCTCTAAAATCAATAAAAACATGTATTTTTTTTAAAATGTCCTGGCCCGCGTGCTCAGTGGTTAAGAGCATCAGCCCACACACCAAAGGGTCGCAGGTTCGATTTCTGGTCAAGGGCACGTACCTGGGTTGTAGGTTTGCTCCCCACCCCAGGTCAAGGCCCGTGCGGGAGGCAACTAGTCAATGTGGCTCTCTCACATCGATGTTTCTCTCTTTACCCCCCCTCCTTCCACTCCCTCTGAAAAAGCAATGGGAAAAAAATCCTTAGCTGAGGATTTAAGAAACAAACAAAAAGAACAAAGGTTAAAAAAACAAAACAGACACACAACTGGTAAATCAAAAGAAAAAAAGTCATATCACATTTATAATAAAACTAATTTCAGGAACCCAAAGATTCAGGGGCAACCTCATTTCAGTATCATCTTCTCAGAAAATGCAGGAACTAATTAACTACTAGTGCCAACAGCAGATAGAAACAACAGCAGACAGAGACTAAATTACTACTTTTCTTTTAGACTAGGGGTGGGGACCGTCTGGCCAGCGTATACAGCCTGAGAAATCATTTGGTCTGGCCCTGCCAAGGCAACCACAGGCGGGACTCAAAATTCAATAAATCTAGGAGCTTTTTTCATAGTTAATTTTTAAGTTGATAATTTTGTATGGCCCTCGAATGATATTATAAATATCCAAATGGCCCTGCTTTAGACCAAGGGTCACAAGCTGGCAGCCCATAAAACCTATTCTAACTCATAGGCCATTCTACCTCATAAACAACAGAGAAAATTTCATATAAAAAAACAAATTTTTTCTTAAAAATGTAAATGATATGACAACACTGGACTGGATGGTCAATAATTAGCTGGAACTAATAAGAAGGGTAAATAGTAATTTTTTTAGGTCTCTCCAGTTCTACATACTCCCTGTGACCATATAGCCTTATTCACTGACATTACTTGCCTAACTCCTAAAAGAAAATCCATTTTGAAGCCCTGCTTTAAATGTTATGATGGACTAAAGATCTCATTTAAAGCAATATCGTTCTAACATTCTCATTATAATTCTCCATTATTAAACTTGTTAAAAATACAGATGATCTAGCCCTGGCCAGTGTGGCTCAGTTGGTTGGAGCGTCACCCCACGCACCAGAGTCCAGGGTTCAATTAGTCATGGTGCGTACAGGATGGATGTCCCCCTCTTCCTTCCACTCTCTCTAAAATCAGTAAAGTAACATATCCTTGAGTGGGATTAAAAAAATACAGATATAGCATACACCATATCACTGGTATCCCTTTTATTTTGAAGATGACAGCACACCTTGAAGATGGTAAAACATAAAGCTACAAATGAAATTCTGAAAACGTTCTCAATCATCAGAATCAGGTGTCTTAGAAAATCATAAAACATATCTAACTTTGTCTTCACCTTTCATAACAGCCTGAAGTGAAGCAACCTCTTCTCTCCACTGTCTTTTTACTTCATCTATAGCTTCTTGCTTGGTATTCTCAGAGACCGTGGCAATGGCCTTGATATTCTCCATCTCTGCTTGGGCTTCCAATAGCTGTGTTCGAAGGTGTCCCAAATCATCTTGTGCAGCTTGTAACACTGCATTTTGCCTCTTCAGATCCTCTGGGGGAAAAGTAAAAGACTTTCCATTAATGAGGGGTTCACCCGTATTAAGCTGGCACTGCAATGAAGAAACAAAGCATTAAATTCATAACGTTAACATTGTAATGAACAAGCTAAGCATTAAATTGGGAAATGTTAACTTAGAAAATAAAAATTTTTAATAAAGTTAAAATTTAAGGTATGCTGGGTATCAAAAATCACTTATTAACTATGTAACCAGATAAGGATTCAGGCCATAGTTTTAGAGCTAATTTAAGCTTTTAAAACCCACTGGCTAAATGAGCTTACTTAACCTCTATGGCCTCCGTTCCACATCTACAAAATGAGGATAAAAATCCCCACCTCAGAAGGTTGTTTTAATGATAAAACCAATTGATTAAACATGCTACTAGTACAGTACCTTGTACAAGTAAACATTCAAGAAATGATTAAGAAAACATGGCAGTTACTAGACCCAAGTTTTTAAAGTTCTAATTAATTTCTCAGCACTCCCTTACCATTTCTTAAATATTAAGTTCATCTGATGTTCCTATTACATGATTTAAGCCTAGGTAGTACATAAGTTTGGCTAAACTGTCTTCCAAAAAAGATGACCTACCAACAGTGTATAGAGGTATGTCTTTTTCCCACACCCTTACCAATAACCACTATTTTCCATTTTTAAAATTCTTGCCAACATCATGGGTAGAAAATGGTAATAGTTTTAATCTATATTTTCCTATTAATAGAGAGGTTGAGTATCTTTTCATACAATTATTAATGACCAGTATTTCCTCTTTGGTGATATACTTTACCTGTGTTTCTAATAAATTGTTTCTCTTCTAATTTGGAAGAGATATTTTATGTATACTGGATATTAACCGTTTTCCCTTACAAAACTTTTCCCAGTCTCCAAATGTTTCTCAATTTCTTTTTCTTATCTATTGCCATCTAAAAGTTATGAGACATTTATGCAAAAGAACTGTTCATCTTTTCAAAGCCATCAATTTCCTTTACAGAGCACAATAGCTAAGGCAAATAGCCATAAAAACAATTTAAGACCCAACCTACCACTAACCAGCTGTATGACTTTAAGGGAATCATAAACCGTTAAGCCAGGGTAATGGCAACACTCTTCTGGAAAAATTTATAAGTACTTAAAAAAACAAATAGATAATATCAATTAAAGAACTTTTAAAAGTTGTGAAGAAATTCATAATTATCAAACAATCACAATAATTAACAATATAGTAATCTAAATAATGGGGGTGGGGAGGGACTAGTCATGCTAATTTTTTTTTTTTAATGTCTTTATTGATTTCAGAGAGAGGAAAGGAGAGGGAGAGAGAGAGACAGAAACATCAATGATGAGAGAGTCATTGATCAAGCCCGCATTCCGGGCATGTGCCCCGACCGGGAATCGAACCCCAATCGCCTGGTTCCTCGGTCGATGCCCAACCGCAGAGCCACGCCCGGCCAGGCTAGTCATGCTAATTTTAAGTAAAGTCATTTAAGAAATCTTTAGTCTCCCAACATCCATTTCACATACCTTTGTCTCCACTATTAAATTATTTTAAAACACTATCCAGAGACAATTATAAGAACATTAACTGCAGAAAGTAATTATCTAAAGCATCTTGAAGGAAAAACAGATATCTAGCCCTGACTGGTGTGGCTCAGTTAGTTGGAGTGCCGTACCACACAGGAAGGCCGTGGGTTTGACTCCCAGTCAGGCCACATACATAGGTTGCAGGTTCCATCCCCAGTTGGGGGAAGTACAGGAAGCAATTGATCGATGTCTCTCTCTCACATTGATTGTTTCTTTCTCCCTTCCTCCCTCTCTAAAATCAATTAAAAAGGAAGAAAAACAGGTATCTAAGAAATTGTGGTAGGCGTGTGATTAGGAATGACCCAAAAACTGAGTAAAGACATAAATACATGAAACCACAAAAAAAAAAAAAAAAAGTGTATCTACTCCATATTCTAAGGGTTAAATTGTTTCATAAGATGTGAAATAAAAGAAAAATCAGTATTACTTTATTCATTTCTGAGAGCTACAATTTTGTCAAGGCTCAAGTTTATCTACTAAACACCTCCTCATGTTAATTATCCCTGCAACTTTTTGATTTACTGGAAATTACCCACAACTATTCACTACCATGTTGTCAATCAGAACAGAAAAACCACAAACAAATACAAACCTAAACATTGATTTTTGGCATGTTTTCACACAATTAAAAGCCATGAAAAGAGGCTGGTTCTTGTTTTCCAAGAATCTTTTGGCTATTCTGACCCCCTAGCTTTTTCATATAAATTTTAGCATCAACTTGTGAATCTCTACAAAGAAAACAACTGAAATAGTAAAAGACACTGCATCGAATTTGTAGATCAGGGGAGTATTGCCAATATCAAATCTGCTTTATGAATATGGTATGTCTTTCCAATTATTTAGATCTTTTAAAAAAAATTTAAGTTTTTGTTTTCAGAGTACAAGTTTTGCACTTATTTTGTAAATGTAGTCCTAAGCATATTATTCATTTTGGTGCTATTATAAATGAAATTGTTTCTTTAAAACTTCATTTTCAGCTTCTTCATTGCAAGTATTATAGAAATACCACTTTTTGTAGACTGATCTTGCATCCTGCAACCTGCTGAACTTGTACATTAGTTTGAATAGTTTTTAGTGGATTCCATACAATTTTCTATAATAAAAATGTCATCTGAGAATAGAAAAAGCTTTATTTCTTCCTTTCCAATCTGGATTCCTTTTATTGGGGCAGGGGGAGGGCTAACTGCCCTGGAGAGAACTTCCAGTCCAATGATAAAGAGGAATGCTAAAAGTGGACATTGCTGACTTATTCTCAATCTGAGGGTGAAAGCATCCAGTCTTTATGATGATATTGTTCGCTTTGGGTTTTTTGTAGATGCCCTTTATCATGTTGGCAAAGCTTCCTTCTATTCCCAGTTTAGTGTTTTTATCATGAAAGGGTGCTGGATTTTATCAAATGCTTTGTGTATGTCTATAGTGAAGATCATGTTTTTGTTTTTTATCCTATTAATGCAGTGTATTAGATTATTTGATTTTCAGGTGTTGAACCAATCTTGTATTCTTCGGATAAATCCCACTTGCTCATGGCGTGTAACTCTGAATTATGAATTGAATGCTACTATTTTGTTGCCGATTTCTGCACCTATATCCATAAAAAATATTGGTCTGTAGTTTTCTGCTTGTAATGCCTGTGTTGGTTTTGGTATCAGGGTAATACTAGCCTCACAAAATGAGTATAAAAGAATCTCCTTCTGTCTACTTTTCAGAAGAGTTTGAGAAGGATTAGTGTTAAGTCTCTGAACATCTAGTAAAATACACTATTTACGTCATCTGAGCCTAGGCTTTTCTTTTTTCTTCTTTTTTTGTGGGTAGTTTTTTAAATTACAAATTCAGTCTCCTTATTTGCAGTGAGTCTATTCAGATTTTCTAATAGCCAGTTTTGGTTTTTGTATCTTTCTAGGAATTTGTCATTTTTTCTAAATTATATAATTTATTAGCATATAATTATTTATAGTATTCCTTGATAATCCCTTTTAATTTCTAGAAGGTTAGTAGTAATGGAGCTTGTATTCATTTCTTGGTCAACTTAGCTAAATAAAGATTTGTAAATTTTGTTGGTCTTTCCATAGAATGCAAAGAATTCGTTTCATTGATTTTTATTGCTTTTCTATTCTCCATTTCATTAACTAACTTGCTTTTAAGTTTCATTAACTCTTCTTTTTCCAATGTCTTATGGCGAAAGATTAGGCAATGCCTTTATTTTTTTGTTTTAAATTTAGGCATTTATAGCTATATATGTCCCTCTAAGTAATGATATTAACTGCATCTCATAAGAGTTGATCTGTTGTGTCTTCAATTTCATTTATCTCAAAGTATTTTCTAATTTTGTGATTTCTTCTTTCAGCCATTGGTTACTTAGGAGTATGTTATAACATTTTCCCATATTTGTGATTTTCCCAAATTTTATTACTATGTGGTCAGAGAACACTTTGTCTTATTCTAATCCTTTTACAGTCAAATTTTCTATCTCCCTGTTGACCTTCTCCTTGTTCTACTTGTTACTGAAAGTGGGATATTATACAACTATTACTGGCAAAATGTATACTTCTCCCTTCATTTCTGTCAGTTTGTTTCCCTGTATTTTGAAATTCTGTATGTACATGTGTATTTAACTATTTTGTCTTCCTGATGGATTGGCCCTTTTGTCACTATAAAATGTTCCTCTATCTCTAGTAACATTTTTTGGTTTAAAATCTATTTTGCCTGATATTAGTATGGCCACTATAGCTTTCTTATGGTTGCAAGACATATCTTTTTTAGCTTTTTACTTTCAAATTACTTGTATCTTTGAATCTAAAATATATTTCTAAACAGCATATAGTTAGACGTTTATTTTATTAACCAGACTGAAACTCTGCCTTTTGTTTGAATTGTTTAATCCATTCACATTTACTGTTACTGATATTGCATTAATATATTAAATTTAAGTCCGCAACTTTTGTCTTTTTGTTCTTCTAGTCTTTTTATTGCCTTTTTTTGCATCAACCAGATAATTTCTAATGTCACATATTAATTCCTTTCATAATTGTTTGACTGTATTTTCTTGTGTTATTTCTTTAGTGGTTGCTGTAGGTTTACCATACACATCTTAACAGAATCTACATCAAATTTATAGAACCTTAATTCCAACAAAACACAGGCATACCTCGTTTTATTGAGCTTCACTTTATTGCACTTCACAGGTGTTGCGTTTCTTACAAACTACAGGCAAGACCCTACACCAGCAAAAAGATTATGATTCACTTTATTTCAATACAGTGGTATGGAGCCAAACTTGCAATATCTCCAAGGTATGACTGTATAGAAATGTACTCCTCTATAGCTTTATTCCATTCTCCCACATCTATACTATTATTGTAATATACACTGTCATCTATATGTTACAACCCAACATTACACTGCTGTAATTATT